AAAGAATCGCACCGTAGCCCTTGAAGTCGACGGGGAGTCGACCATGATGTATCAGTACAGAACCCCGTCCACGGTGCCAAGGTGAGTATCTTCACTTTTGACACTCGCTCTGACAATGAGTACAAGTATACCCAAGGAAAATGATTGGGTTTGCTCTATCGATAATCAAGTTGATTGGAGTTGATACGGCACTATTTACCCTTCATTGCTCCAGTCATCTCCAATCAAGCCAACTTTTGACCGACTATTGTCTTCGAGAGCAGAACTGGCTGAAACGTTGTACCTTGGGGAGGGGGTGACCTGAACATGGATATCGCATCCTCTCACCCCGAAACTGCCTGGCGCTCGCGCAAAATATCCTAAATCACCAAAGCCGCTGAAAACTTGCTCCCAGGGGTAGTTTGACCCACTGAACACAACTATTGCACCAGTTAGCTCTGAAAACTCAGGAGGAACTCACCACTTGTTCTGCCGCGTGTAGCACGGGACTTGTCTTCATGACGTGCGGTGTGCGGGTAGTCAGGGGAACGGTGAGAAGGGGCAGCACCCTTCTGATTGCCTCTTCTGACCTGCTTCTGCTAGCAACACTTACTTTTACCAAGCCAATTCAGCGGAGGGAGAGATCGCTATCTCGGGGGAAGGGTGCAGACGAGCAGAAGCAGGTTGCGCTATCAGGTGTACCCCCTCTCATCCTTAACTTTCAACAGTCACGCAGATGTGATACTCGTGTTCGGAAGGTAAACTATCCCCAAGGACAGGTTTTCAGCAATTTTGGTGATTTGAGATATTCTGGCGCCGGCGCTTGTAACGCGAGCGCCGGGAGGTGTCGGGTCAAGCGGATGTGATATTTTGTTCATGAAGTCATTTACCTCTGCGAATAAGTTTTCAGTGAATTATATGGTTCGAGTATTTTGGCGCTGGCGCCTCAATAGGTCACAAAGCTCGCCAAGCGGATTGCTTAATGCGTTAAGCAGTAAACTACCCTCAGAAACACGTTTTCAGAATTGGTGATTTGAGTAATTTCTGCTCGTGTGTTAGCCATAGGCGGCCAGGGTTTTGGCTGAGAGGGTTGTTAAGTGTTTCAGAAGGTCAGAATACTCAGGGCAGAATGTTAACTTATTTCTGCCGAACAAGGTTGTTAGATAGAACCTTTTTATTGGCCTGACGTTTCGACCTTTCTCGTTTTCTTCAGGGCCGAGGTTCCACCGTGCGGAGCCTAGCTCACGCTATGTGTCAGTAGGGTAAGTAAGGACGAATTCGTCCGAATACGGTGGAACCTCGGCCTCTGAAGAAGACGAGAAGGTCGAAACGTCGGGCCAATAAAAGGTTCTATCTAACAACCTTCGGCAGAAATAAGTTAACATTCGACATCATGCCAAGGTTACAAGAAGGGACAACTTGGAGATTACTCCAGAGTAGAATTTTCTAGCCAAGTCTGCCCTCGGAGGAAATCAGTCGTATTGCATTCATTCAAATTGCTGCATTCGGATGACTGAGGGCAGTAAAGGGTAAACAGTACCGCTGATGCTATTCAAAATTGGCTAGATACCAAAATTTCAGGCCAGAATCCTATCGCGAAGACACGAACGCAGCCGAGAGCATAACTAATGAGAATTCTAAACGCCAGTTCTACCAGGACATAGCCAGTGCAGCCGAATCTGGATGGGATTTCTCCACTCGGTGGTTCGCTGACAAACTAACGCTCACCTCCATTCAAACCACTAACATTCTTCCTGTTGATCTCAACGCTTTCATCTGTTACAATTTACACATTCTAGGAGCCTTACACGCCGAAGTCGGTAGGTATTCCTCATTTGGAGTTCATGAGCCCCACTGGGCTTTCTAGTGGACAGCAGCGTTACCGGCTCATTGCAGGAAATGAGCACAAAAGTACCTCTTGGTTAACACAATATATCAAATTCCGTTCGGATTTCGAGAAAGTTTTCTATGTGAAAGCGGCCAAGGGATGGTACGACTACAATCTTCACACGAAACAACACAACACCGATTTCTATGCATCAATTGCTGTTCCTCTATTCACTCAATGTTACGAACCGCTTAGTTTGTCGAAAAGCGACGATTTGTATGATAAAATGGAGGAAATGGGTGTATTCAGCTATGTAGGAGGAATCCCAACGAGGTAAGCTACTTTCAACTAAGAAAACCACTTCAGCAATTTTATAGGGAGCCTTCCCCGTTGCTGGAGTACCGCCATTTTGCATTCGTATTAATACTACCTACTCTGTCGTTCGCAACTATTATACATCTCACTCTACACGATTTTCATGGCTGAGCATGCCTCTAAATCAGCAGAGACTCACAATAGAAGGACCAAGTTACCGAGTTCCATAGTGCCGCGCTCACTGAACCTTTTTGAGTCACGGATGTCTCAAAGACAAGTCCGTACACTCATCTCCGTGGATCCAAGCCCTGGCCACGTGTGAGTTGGACGGGTCCACAGCTGCAGTAGCGTGCCACTTTCTCGGCTGAAAAGTGCCCGAGAACAGGGCTGTAGGGTGGTGAACCCAGGTACAGTCACCATTCTCTGCCTGCGCTATGTGCATCACTTCCGTCGATACCACGATCCCGCTGCGAAACACGCTTTGAAGACGGTTTGCATCGAACGGTCCGCAAACTGCCTCCGTGCAT